GGCCAAGGTTGCCCCCACGAGAGCCCCTGCGCCTAGCATGTGTGCCGCGCTTCGTTCCTCCCATCAGCTTGATGACTCCGGACGTCGATGCAAAGCGTGTAGGGGCTCCACCACCGTTGCAAAACGCAAGCAGTGGTACGATACAGCGCGTTTCAGCTGAATAAACACCGATGGCAATTATATGAGACCCCCCGGGTAAGCAGGTACATGTCGCGGGGGGGGCTGATCCATTTAACCCATCATGATAAGTTCCACGCTGGGCTGGGTATTCGGTTCTGTGGCAGGTGAGGGGTGTACGCCTCCCAACGGATCGGGAAGCTAGCCGACACATGTGACACCCCGACCGCCACGGGGCGGGAGCATTTACGCCGAATCGAACAGGGACTCTGGCCCAAAGTGCTCAGCAAGGCTGAGACTCTCCAGAGGAGTGGGAAGCAACAGGCACCACAGTAGGCGCACGCGGATTTTAATCATACCGCTATGCGATTAAGCAGAATGCTCCGAATGCTCCCCCTCCTCTCACCGAATGTTGTGTTGGATTTGCCCTTGCTGAGCCTAGGTGTAACTCGCGCGTTCCAATTCGAAGCCCCCCTGCGTCCCCACGGGTCCCCTTGGCGAAGGGGGAGGGGGGCCAACTCTGGCGCCCGTGGGTCTCTTTCGAGAGAGAGAGAGAGAGAGAGAGAAAGAAAAAAAAAACAACAAAAAAAAAAAGGGAGAGAGCGGCAGCACAGAGAGAGAGAGAGAGAACAACAAGCAAACAAACACAGAAAGACCGCGCGCACGCGGCACCAACACATCAATATACTCTCTCTCTCTCTCTCTCTCCCTCCCTCTCTCTCTCTCTTTCTCTCTCTCTCTCTCTCTCTCTCGCTCTCTCTCTCTCTCTCTGGCTCTATGTCGGAGGCGGGGGGGTGAGATCGAAGTGGAACGGAGAGCCCCCCTACCGGGAAATCGATTTCGGTTTCGTGTTCGTGCGTGCCGTGCGGGCGAGGCGAAGCTGCGTGGGCGGGCGAGAGAAAGTCTCCTGTGGCTGAGGCGCGGCCGGACCAAATGTCTCCCTTCCGGGCGGCCGGTGGCCCGCGGTGTCCCGCCGGTGTCCCGCGGTGTCCCGCGGTGTCCCGCGGTGCCCCGCGGTGTCCCGCCGGTGTCCCGCGGTGTCCCGCGATGATGATGATGATGATGATGATGATGATGATGATGATGATGATGATGATGATGATGACGATGATGATGATGAGATGATGATAATGATGATGATGATGATGATGATGATGATGATGATGATGATGATGATGATGCTGATGATGATGATGGTGCTGATGATAATGATGATGATGATGATGATGATGATGATGATGATGATGATGATGATGGTGATGCTGAAGATGCTGCTGATGATGATGACGATGATGATGATGGTGATGCTGATGATGATGATGATGCTGATGATGATGAGGACGATGATGATGATGATGATGATGATATGATGATGATGGTGTCCCGAAGATGATGGGGTGGTGATGATGATGTCGATAATGATGATAATGATGATGATGATGATGATGACGATGATGATGATGATGCTGATGGTGTCCCGATGATGAGGATGATGATGATCATGATGATTATGTTGATGATCCTGATGATGACGATGATGCTGTCCCTATGATGATGAGTATGATGATGATGTTGATGATGCTGATTATGATTGTGTCCCGATGATGATGTTGATGATGATGAGGTTGATGATGATTATGGCGTCCCTATGATAATGATTATTCTGATGGTGATGGTGATGATGATGATGATGTAGTGAGACCGAATGTGATATCGATTGTGATATCGATTGTGAGATCGATTGTGAGATCGATAGTCAGATCAATTGTGGGATAGATCGAGTGAGATCGTTTGTGAGATCGATCGAGGGAGATCGATCGAGCGAGACCGATACTGAGATCGATAGTGAGATCGATAGTGAGACCGATCGAGTGAGACGTTGGTTCCTCCCCCCCCGAACCTCCTTATCACCAGAAGGGTGGTCGTATAGGAGTATATGTGTATATGTATGTATGTATATATACATATATATATACACATACATACACATATGGGTGCTTGGGCAGTGTGGGCCGCTGGATCGTCTTGCGGCCACACCTTGGGCCCATTTGGGGGTCATTGACCGTCTCGGGGCTCTCTTCGGGACCTCGTGGGCCCGCTATGGCCGTTTTGGGGCCACCTGAGGTCGCCCTGGGCCCGCCCAGAGCGCTCGGTTATCAGCCGACCAGGTCGCGACCCCAATATGGTCCAGATCATGTTCTTAGACGATAGTAACCGAGAATGCTTAAGATGAGCAACATAGATGTACAGTATATACATATATTTGCATACATATACATGCATACCTACAAACATATATACATGCATACATACACACATACATACATACATACATACATACGTACGTACATACATACATACATACATACATACATATATACATACATACAAACATACATACATACATACATACATACATGCATACATACATACATACAGGTCACATCGTATATATACAGATATACACATATAGCATGTATAAGTAAAAAAAGATTGTCTGCACACAAATATACGTGTATATGCGAATTAGTGTACGCAAGGAACTACGCACCCATGAAAAAAACAAAACAATGCACGGCGAAATACCCAACCATATGCAATGGTGGGTACCGTAGTTGTGAATATCGTCTTCGGTGAAGCGCTCCATACGGGGTCGCGAAGCGTGCGAGTGTTGTGCCGAAATCGTGAGGAGAAGGCATGCGGGTCATGGCCCCGTAGCCTTAGGTTGACCTCCCTATAAAGCCGCGCAACGTGCGAGAGGCGTGCCGACATGGTGTGGGCCAGGCATCCGAGCCCTGGCACTGGCGCCTTAGGTGGAACTCCCTGTGGGGCCCCCGAACGTGTGAGGGGTGCGCCAAAATAGTGTGGAGAAGGCATGCTATCCGTGGCAATGGGGACATATGTGGAGCTCCCTGTGGAGACACGAAGCGTGTAAGGGGTGCGCAGAAATCGTGTGAAGAAGGTATGCAGGCCCTGGCACGTGAGCTTGAGGTGGAACCCTGGAACCCCCTTGTGGGGACGCAAAAATATCGGCGTGCGCCGAAATTGAATGGAGAAGGCATGCGGGCACAGCCACTGGGGCCTTAGGTGGAGCTTTCTTTGGGGCCATGGGGCCACGAAACGTGTAATGGGTGCGTCACAATGGTATGGACCATGCATACGGCCCCTGGCCCTGGGGACTCCACTGGAGTTGCCTATGGGGCCCCGGAGCGTTCGAGGAGTGTACCGAAACAGTGTGGACAAAGCATAAGGGCGCAACAACTGTGGCTCAGGTGGAGCTCCCTATGAGGCCCCAGAACGTGTGAGGGGTGCACCGAAGTAGTGTGGAAAGGGTATGGGAGCCGTAGCACAGGGGCCACATGTGGAGCTCCCTATCGAGCCACGAAGCGTGTGAGGGGTGCGCCGAAAATGTGTGCACCAGGCATGCGAGCCCTAGCACTGGCGCCTCAGGTGGAGCTCACTATGGGACCACGAGACGTGTGGGGGGTGCACCGAAATAGTGTGCAGAAGAGAGGGCATGCGAATGCAGCCACTGGGGCTGCAGGTGGAACACCCTTATGGGGGCACGAGACGTGATAAAGGTGCGCCAAGATGGTCGCTATGGGGCCACGAAGCGTATAAGGGGTGCGTCGAAATTGTGTAAACCGAGCATGCGGGCCCACCCACTGGGGCCCCAGGTAGAGCCCCGTATGAGGCCACGAGACGAGTGAGGGGTGTGCCGACATGGTGTGGACCAGGCATGCGGGCCCAGCCACTGGGGCCCGAGGCAGAGTTCCCTATGGGGCCATGAAGCGTATCAGGGGCGTGCCGAAATGAACATGCGGAGGGCAGTGTCAGTGATGGGAGGAGGGAGGAGGAAGGAGGGAGGGAGACGCGGGGCGCTGTCTCTTCAAAACGGGGACCCAACACCACATAATGGCTAAGGGAAGAAACAGGGCCACGCATATACCCCTACCATGCACACGGATGGAGGGCGACTCCCTCTCAAGCCCACTGTGCTCTGTGCAACGTCACGCGGCCGAATACCTTGATGACCACCTCTGCGCATCTGAGAGCACATCGGGCTCCAAACATGCAAGCACATGGGAGTCTCGCATTTCCAGCGGGGGCTCCTCACTGTGGAAAGGACTGCGCACATCGGCTTGTGAGCAGGTGGAGACGAACAGGGGCGGAAGAGGTGGAAGCGGGAGCGGCATTGGAAGCGGAGGTGAAAATGCATGGAAGGCAGAGGTAGGGAGGAAGGGAAGGCAGAAGTGGAAGAGTCGGAGGCAAAAGTGGAAGAAGGAAGAAGAGGGGGAGGTGGTGGAAGAAACGGACGAGCAGGAGGAACAAGAGAGGCAGCAGCAGCAGCAGGAAGCCAGGCGCCCAAACGGCGCAGCGGCAGTTCATGACTCTTCGAATTCTACATGCGAAGATTGCAGGCGTGATCAGAGAGCGTACGGGAAAACACACGCCGCCCACTGTAGCTTCGGGCGTCCGCGTTTGCGCTTGCAGGAGGAACGAAAGCAGGAGCAGGAGCTACGGCAGGAGGAAAAGGGGAGGGAGCAGGCTGCGGAGGCGGAAGCGGAGGCTGTGGTGGAGGAGATGGAGGCGGCGGAGGCGGAGCAGCAGCGGTGTATGACGCCAACCGCTGTATGGACGAAACTGCACTGGCCAGCGGGAAGAGGGGTAGGGAGGGCAAGGCTATGGCCTCATGCCAGACGGGTCTCCCTCTCCCTGCGGTCAGGGTATCCCTTCCTCATGCCACCATGAACGCTGACTCCGATGCTCTCTCTCTCCCTCCTTATTTCGCTGGTGTGGCCCTTCCCCGAGAGCGCGTCTGCCGGCAGAAGTTAGACATCACAGGATACGGCACAGGGTCCCCGCCACCCCCCCCGAGTCGCCTGCAGCCTGCACAGCTGGTTGCAGAAGGGGTACCTGGCACGAGGTCCGTGCAGCGAAAAAACAGATCATCCATCCCATCGGCCTTCCCTCTCTCTCTCTCTCGCATTCTCTCTCTCTCTCTCTCTCTCCCTCTCTCTATTTCTCTCCTCCTCCTCCTCCTCCTCGTCCTCCTCGTCCTCCTCATCTTCTTCCTACTCTTCCTCCTCCTCCTCCTGCTCCTGCTCCTCTTCCTCCTCCGAAGCCATTTTGGCTCAAGGGTTTTTGCAGGCACTCGATTCAGAACGTCAGGGTGTCTGCGGGTAAAGTTGACTACGCCCTGCTAAATTTCTTCTAAATTCGCCATGCGCCATGGGGGGAAGGCTTCGTGCAGTGGATCCTCGCAGCCGCTGCCAGCCTGGGCTGGCACCTGCCCGTGGCACACTCAGCAGCAGGAGCAGCACATGTATATGGGGCAGTTCGAGCACAAGCCAGCAGGCAGGTGGAAGTGCTTTGCTTGCGGATGCGGGAAAAGCAGCAACGCCAGCAACATCTGCAAGCACTGCGGCTCAACTCGTGCGCAGCCCCGCCCTACACCACCGCATCCGCCGCGCGGATTGTATGGGGACATCAGCGGGGTCTTCCTCGTCGCCATGGTCCTCTGGCTCCTCTTGGTCACTGGCAGTCCCCTATACTTATGTATATACATATAAATATATCCAGGTATCCAGGTCACGGCCGACGGTGGCGGAGGCACCGCTGCAGAATCCCCTGGCCCGCCGGGCTTCAAGGACCTGCAGCTGGTCGTCGCCGTCGCCAAGAGGGACATGGCCAGTCGAGCGCTACCAGGCAAAGCTCGACGCGATGGCCGCTTCTGTGCCCAAGGTCGCCCCCAAGCCGCTGCATGAACGGGTCAGCAATCTGCACTGCAGATGGGGAAGCTCGACAATCGCATCGAGGTGGAGCTGGGGAAGTTTAAGAAGTGGCAGGAGAGCCTGGCTCGTCAGGAGTCGCTTCTGGCTGCTCCCGGACGTCAGTACAAGTCCATGAAGCAGCAGCAGCAGCAGCAGCAGCAGCACACAGAGCTGGTGTAGTGCCTGCACTCCAAAGTGGTCCTGGTGGAAACACCTGCACCAATCGAGGAGAAGACTGGCCCGACGCTCAGCCTCTGTGGCCTGCTGGAAGGCAAGGACAGCAACATCAACATCGACGACGGCGGCTTGTTCAGTGAGGATCTCCTGGGCAAGGGGCTCGAGGCTTCTGATCTGGAAGACGTTGCACGACGTCGACAGCAATTCAAGGATACGATCTCCGAGGCGGCGAAGGGCCTGCTCGAGTCCGCCATGGAGAAGGCCAACACACTTCGAGCAGAACACGCCGCTTATTCGGCGCGTCTGCTGGCCAAGCGCCGTCGTGGCAACAACGGAGAGGCCACGGCGGGCGGAGGTGCTGGAGCTGAGGGTGGACAGGGTGCTGGCGCTGCGGCAGCTCCTCCATCGGAAGCGTCTCCCTCGGCAGCATCGGAGTCACAGCCTGGCGAAAGAAGGTGGGCAGGATCCCAGCGAGGCGGAGAGACGACGAGTTCAACAGGAAATCGGTCGCCTCGCAGCTCAAAAAGGACATGCGTGCAGCTGCTGCGCTTGCAGAGAAGAGCCGCGCGAGCCACGACAGAGTGTCCCCTTCCCCCGCAGGCAAGGCCCGACGGGCGGGGGGCAACGATAATACTCTTGTGCAAGCAATTGTTCCATCACCCCCGACTGGCTTTGTCGTGGACCTCTTTCGCCTGTCTCCCCCCCGACTGCTGCCGCTATAAGCCTGTCGGCTACTTCGGTGCACGGTAATTCTTGGAGCTCCGTCAAGGAGCAGCTCCCGCACGTCTCCTCAGCAGTGATCCCTGTGCGAGAGCACAAACTGATGACTGACGAAGTGATCGCCCGTGCCAGTGAACCTTGTCTAGGCTTGGGCTGGAAATCTCTGTGGCCCCCATCCACCACGGGCCCAGGAGGAGATTCTTCCGCGCGCGGTGCAATGCATTGGAGGGCTTCTTTGGGTCTGCACTCCCCTGAGGGTGGGCATATTGTCTATCCTCGCCGTGCGGTCTCGGGCCTTACAGGTGCCCCCCAGAGTAAGGTTATTCAGTTATTTTCCCTGTACCTCTGGGGTTCAGAAGGCCTCGCTGACAGATACTTTGTCGGCTGCAGGGGCGGCGGGGACTACATGTGGGCGGTCATTCATCTGCGAAGGAGGCTGGAACCTCGAACCTGCCACTCTTGAATCCTAGCCCTTCATCATCAAGCTCGTGGGTCAGTTCGTCGCCAGTGGGGCTCCTACCTGTCATAGGGGTGCTCCAAGGGAATATGACTTAAGTGTCTGTCCTAATGGTGTGGCCAAGGGGGTCAAGCAAATCGCTCAAATTCAGAATCACGGAGCTGTGCCTTACACCCTTGTGGCGCTCGATTTGTACGCAGGCCTCGCGCAGATGCCGTACCTGACTTGCCGTCGCCCTCCTGAATTGCCCACTGCCGCGCCGTTCAGTCAGCTGCCTGAGCCGTGCGAGTTCGAGCGCATCCGCAGCAAGATCGATGAGTGAAATGTCCAAGCTTGTCGAGGGGATGGCCCTCACATTGTGTTCATTCTTCTTGTTGAAGCGCATGGTACGTTGGCTAACCTCAGCGAGAAGGAGCTGTCCAGAGTCTTTGGCGTGCAGTTGCCTGTCTGGGGATCTCGGAGCGAGGGGCCCATGACACATTGGAAGCTTCTCTTGGGTAAGGACTTGGGCTGCGTCAAATGCCCTCCCCTCCATGCCACGCGCTGGCTACACGCCAGTCAGATGAAGTTTCGGTTCGTTTTTCGGCCGCCCCCGATCGTCCTGAGTTGGCTCGAACTGCGGCCAGAGTTCAGCGAACCCCCCGCCTCGGGTTAAGAACGTCCCCGACAGCGTCCCTGATTTCTGCCGCCTTTAGCAGCAGGTTCCGAACTAGGTCAGGACTGGCTGGACGGCGTTTTCTTTCTCGCTCACTCTCTCTCTCTCGCTCTCTCTCTCTCTCTCGCTCTCGCTCTCGTTCTCGCATTCAGCCTGTGCAGATCGAGTGCACGATCTCGGTAGTCCAGTTGCTGAAGCTCTTGGTAGCTATGCTTCTCACGTTCCTGGACAGGAGCGCCACGATTCGAGCCCCTGGCTGCTTGATAATATTGAGAGTGGGGCCCGTCGTGCCTACGCTTATTCCAAGGACCCGCAGGGGTCCAAATCTTCAACTACTCTCAGCACCAACGGGTGCATGGGTTCGGACCCGCAGGCCCTCCATCGGGACGAAGCGATTCGGTTTCGGGGCCCCTGGAGGCACAGGCCACGCCTCCTATGCTTAACAGCGCGGAGCTGGACCCCCTTCCTCCGATCCCCACCAGCACTCAAGACGGGTGTCTAAAAGAGTTGCGTATAGGTCGCCCGTGGTTTTGGACGATTTGCACGTGCGTCCTTCCCAACAATCCTGTTGTGTTGGGACCTCGCTTTGAAGAGGCAGCGCCCCGCATCACTCCTCTTCGCCACCTCCCTCCTCTTCTCATCACAGACATCATCATCATCATCATCATCATCATCATCATCATCAGCAGCATCATCCTCATCATCATCATCATCATCACCACCACAACGGCGTCAGCAACATCAGCATCATCATCAGCAGCAGCATCCTCATCGTCATCAACATCAGCAGCAGCATCAGCATCAGCATCGTCATCAGCAGCAGCAGCAGCATGTGCAGCATCATCAGCAGCAGCATCATCACCATAATCATCAGTATCTGCATCGTCGTCAGCAGCATCACCATCACCATCATCGTGGCCATCAGCAGCAGCATCATCATAAGGTCAAGCATCATCGTCATCAGCTTCATCATAATCATCATAATCATCAGCATCATCGTCATCAGCATCATCATGTCCAGCACCATCACCAACATCATCACAATAATCAGCTTTATCAGCATCGTCGTCAGCAGCAGTACCATCATCATCAGCACCATCAGAAGCACCCTCATCGTCATCACCAGAATCACTGTCAACAGCATCATCATCGTATTCATCAGCAGCAGTACCAGCATCATCATCACAAACACAACCATCATCACCACCCTTATGAGTACCACCAGCATCACCATCACAGCATCAGCATCATCAGCAGCATCAATATCAGCATCATCACCATCATCATCACCATCATCATCAACAACACTTTCATCATCATCAATATCAGCATCATCATCATCCGCAGCATCACCCGAATCACCATCGTCAGCATCGGCACCATCATCATCATAGTCATCATCAGAAGCATCAGCATCGTCATAATCATCAGCATCATCATCACAAACATCATCAGCGACAACCTCATCATCATCATCAGTACCACCATCATCATCATCATCATCATCACCATCACCATCATCATCAACAACAGCATAATCATCGTCATAATCAGCATCATCAGCATCAGCATCAGCATAAGTAGCATCATCATCACCAGCATCATCATCATCAACAACAGCATCATCATCAGAATCATCATCGGCATCATCATCATGGTCGTCATCATCACCATCATCGTTACCAGTATCGCCGTCATTGTCACCACCATCGTCATGAGCTTCGGCACTCCCCTTACACGGTTCGTGGCCCCACGGAGAGATCCACCTTCAGTCCCAGTGGCGCAGCCCGCATGTGGGCGACACCCGCGGTGACACCCCCGTTTCGGCACACCCCTCACACGCTTCATGGCTCCACAAGGAGCTCCACCGAAGGCCCCAACGATATAACCCGCATGTGGGCAACACCCCTGTTCCGGCACACCCCTCACACGTTTCGTAGCCCCACAGAGAGTTCTACCTAAGGCCTCAGCGGCGCAGGGACGACAACCCCGTGTCGGCACCCCCCACACGTTTCGTGAGCCACAGTGAGCTCCACCTACGGTCCCAATGGTGCAGCCCGCATGAGGGCGACACCCTCGTTTCGGCACACCCCTCATACTCTTCTTAGCTCCACAGGGAGCTCCACCGAAGGCCCCAGCGACACAGTCCGCATGCGGGCGTTGCCCCATAGAGAGTTCCACCTCAGACGGTACTCACAATTGCTGCACTCACAATTGCATATAGTTGGGTTCTTCACCTGACAATTGTTCAGCTTTATCGGACGGGGCTCTAAAAGCACTCGCGAACGTCCTGAGGCTCAGGGGGTCCATTGGGATGCTGCGCCGCAGCTTCGTGCAATGATCATTGCCTTGATGCCGAACCCAACTTCTCTATTTCGTCCGATGGGTGTCTCCCAGTGCTTACAGGTTCTGGGGCAAGTGTCGCAGGGACTACGCCCTCGCCCGGGGGACGGCGCACATGCAACCATACTGGGCTGCAGGACAGCACAAGTCGGCCAGCGACGCGGTTTGGAAGCAGGCGGCTAGGTCAGAACAATATTGGTCTAAGTCGCAGGCGGCCTGCGCCCTGCTCTGGGAATGCGTCAAACACTAAGAAAGGATTCCTCGTGATTCATTGGTGTTGAGATGCGAACGTCACGCCATGTGCTCAGCAGGGTACAGGTCAGCGCGACTGTTGATTATTACTGGAACTGTTTCGTGTCCGATGTACGTTCGGGTATGAAGTATTGTCGGTTGTAGTTTTGCGACTGCCCACACTCGCATCGTCCTCCTACACGTTCGTTCGACGCCGACATAGACGATATGGGGATCAACGGGGTGGGGAAGGAGGTCACAGCTGTCAACAGCATGTGTGAGTTCGCATCGAATCTCCACCATTCCGTCGTGGGGGACTTGTTGCAGGCTACGATCGCACTGGGCAAAATTGGTTGAGCTTCTTATTCTAAGTTTCTCTCGCGCCTGGTGGAGCGCAGGCTAGGGAGTTTGGCTGGAAAGCATCAGGACTCCATCGTGAATCTCGGCATCGATGTTGCAGTTGGTGGCGCCCTTCGAGTTCGAGGGCGTAACGCTCGTGCTAAAGTTCGCACTGGTCGAGCTAGACGGCGCAGTGGCCGACTGGTTGCGCAGCGAGCCGTGCTAGGACTCAGGGCGATCTAACTTTACGTGACGGGCCCCTTGCCAGGTTTAATGTTCGGCATCGAGGTTCACGGTCGCAGCGACGGTGAACTGCTCAAGATGCGTCGATTGTGTGCGTCTGCGATGAAACCCACCTCGGGGGGGAGGAGTCTGACCATCTTGAGCAGGCTCGAGGGGGACCCCGCTTGGTTCGGCGCGGTGCCTACGATCGTTCGCTGGTCGAAGGAGGTCTGGGCGAGAAACACTCGCGCGTTCGACCATGATTGTTATTGGGCCCAGCTCCGTTCCGTGTGGAACGACTGTTTTCACCTGAGCTGGATGGCGAAAAGTTTGGGGCCCTGTGGGAGCCTTGAGGCTTTCGGTGGACAGGGTGGGGTGGACTATACCTTCTCCCTATCTTCTGGTCAGCGGCCTTGGGGCCCACCATTCCCTCACCCTCACCCCCCCCCCCCGCCCTCTGGATAACACACGTGAGAAAGTATAGCGAAGTTGGTACTAGACGATATTATTGCTTTGATATGGTTAGCTCTGCACTCAGGTCCAACACATTGTCGGCTCGAGAGAAAGGAACTATGAGGTGCATGACCTGCCCAGGACTTTGGCCTCTTGTCCGTGCTTGCCAGATGTGTGTCCTCTTTGCCTCGCGCCCCGTGACACGCACTTTCATCGTTTATAGTGCTGTTCAACTATGGGGGAGGAGAGCATGACTGATCGGCCGTTCTCAATGACCCTGACACCTGCCACAAGCTTGCCCTCGTCTCTGGTCTGTTTGAGCCCCCCGCCCCGATGTTGTCCACACACACAACCAACGACGACGATGGACCAATTTGAAGCTTTACCCCGAGGGTTTCGAAGCCGAGGGCCTGCCATGCCCGCCCGAAGGCTCTCGTAAGCTTTGGGGCGAATCTGTCCTAGACGGCTCCTGCCTGAAATCTTCAGTTCGGGATATGTGCTGTGCGGACTGGGGCATCGCCGGTTTAGGCCCTGGTGGGAACCTCTTAGCCATGGCGTACGGTGCAGTTGTTAAACAGCTGCCCACAGACTGCTCAGGCGGGGGAGTTTTACGCCTATGCTTCGTGCGGCGCCCTACTTTGGCAACCTAGCGAGCTTTTCACGATACGCCCGCCTCGCGCCTGACAGACCGTGTTCGGGGCTGGTGATGCAGGGGCGGGCGTTGGCTGGGTGCAAAATGCTGGGCTGCGAGACGGTCAGGGCGCATAAGGCCATTGATGATCATGATATTTCTCCTCAAGAGCATGTGCTGCGGGTCGGCGATGATTTTGCCGATCATGCAGCCAAGCTCGGAGCGGTATCGCACCCGTCCGGTGCCTCTTCGACGTTGGCTGACATTGATGCCTCAGTATCGCTATGTAAGAAAACCGCCAGTCTTGCTGTTGAGTTGCTCCCGATGTGGCCCAGGACCGACTTAACAGGGGTCCCTTGGTCCAGCCCGAGAGCTCCAGAGCCTCGTGAGGCCTCTAGCACCCACATGTGGTTCTGGTTAGGCCCTCCTGGCGGGTCGCAGCGTTTTTGACAGCATTCGACGTGTCTCCGCACCAAGCGTAGTCCAAGTCATATCTGCCCGTCCCCAGGCCTTTGCACTGAGACACCTCGGATCTATGTGCAGAACTTAAAGATTTGAATCACACATGTGTGATGTTTGATTGCTCGAACGACTGACTGCTAGACGTTTGCACTGAATGCAAATGTTAGACGTATGGTGCTCGTCTTGCTAAACTTGGAGAGCTGTGCACGGGGCGGAGGAAAACCCCAAGACTGGCAAAGAGAAACATAACCCAGATGCCTGGGATTAGATATGCAAAAACCTCCATCCCAAAGAGCTACTTTCAGCGTGCTCTGGTCATGCAGCGTAGCCGTGGTAACCAACATCCTCCTCCTCCTTCTCCTCCTCCTCCTCCTCGTCCTTATTGATCCTGCCATCAGGGATCGCCAAGGAAAAAATCCTCCTCGTCCTTCCCCTACGTCCTCGCCCTCCTCCGTCCCGCCTCATCCTTCTCCTCCTCTTTCACCGCGCATCCTTCCTCCTCTTTCCTCTCTGTCTTGCCCGCCGACCTCCTCTCTTTCGTGTCCCTTTCCTCCTCCCCTTCATCTGCCCCCCCCTTGCCCCTCCCCCTCCTCCTCCTCTTCGTTCCTCCCTGGGGAGGGTGGTGGGCCCGAGGACCCAACCTTCTGGACACCCTGGACAGAGCTAACTGGCGGCTCAAGACAATCAGATGGGCTCAGACTCCAGTCCGCGAAACCGCAGGCTGCAGGTGCCCTCCTCCTCCTCCTCCTCCTCCTCCTCCTTCTCTCCTCCTCCCTCCTCCTCCTCCTCCTCCTCCTCCTCCTCCTCCTCCTCCTCCTCCTCCTCCACCCCCCGCGTGCCGAACCCCGAGCTGGGCTCTCTAGGGGGCGAGGGATGAACGAGAAGGGGCCACCCAGGACCGCTTGCCCCCGAGCGGCGGCGCCAATCGCTGGCGAGCATCGCGTTGCCGCCGAACACAACCCACATGACCGACGCGCCCCACTTCTGCGGCCGCAGCAGCAAGCTGCGGTGCAGCTCCGGCGCTGGGCTGGCCCCGCCTCGGAGGAGGTGAAAGCCCACCGTGGGCCCTGGGGACTTACGGCACACGGCAGAGGGGAGGAGAGGAACGACGAGGAAAGAAGAAGCGCGAAGAGTGGAAGCAAGAGAGGTACGAGGAGGAGGAGGAGGAGGAGGAGGAGGAGGAGGAGGAGGAGACGAAGGACCAGATTAAACCCAAGATGCATCAACCAATGTTGCAACACACCCTGTCATTCCAAGTCCCTTTTTGAGAAATCTATACAACTATTGTTTTCCATTGCGGACGCCCCCCCATGAATGACGAGCGGCTAGCCAATCCACCAGTCAAACGAGGGCACCTGTTGTAAAAGACCCTCCGTCCACTTGAGGGACGCCTGAAGTAGCTCAAAACTGAAAAGCACGTGCCTTTTTTATCCGTCTACGTGCTGCAAGATGTCAAAATCGTGGACGCACATTACGCGGAACCCCCACGCGAGCGTCCGTCAAAAAAACAACAAATAGCCGCATGCTGAGAAGGACGTTTTTTCCGTCCGTCGAAGCGTTCCAAGATATCAAAGCCGTCGACGCATGTTCAGTGGAAGTATCACGCGAGAGCCACGTTCCGAAAAACGGGCCACCTTCCAGCCGTGTTAGCTGTTCCGCAATATGGAACGCTGGGTCGTGGAGGTCGGGTAATGGTCAAATGAATGTATATGGTGGGTTTTGTATCCGAACGCGCGCAAGTCCAAGGCAACACCCACTACGGCGGGGGCGTTCGTTAAGGAATGCGCCCACGAGGCTACAGACCCTGGAGGATTCCTTATCTGACGAGGGCGGCGGCGACATCCGTGGCCGATCCACGACTAAAGTTCCACTAGATTCAAAATCCTGTACTCCTTATCGAAAGGTTCCTTGTCCAATGTCCACACCACCTTGGGAGAGAGGAAAACAAATAACATAGAATAACGCCATTTACTCGCGCTGGTCAGGACCAGTCGGAAACCAAGTACGCACGGCGCCAAGCGTGAGCCCCTTTTTGGAAACGGCCCCCCCTCTATATGTCCGTTGGCTGTGTAAGACGACGGCGTGCGGCGTCAACAAAGCGAGAGCCCGATTGTGAAAACTGCTTGGGTTCCACGCGCCAACGGGCTCTGAGTCGATCTGCTCCGTAGGGCCACGTGCGGCGGCGGGGGCGATGAAGAAGACTATGTGTGGGTGCGGCTGCTGCTGGCGGCGTCGGCGAACCTGGGAGCGCCCGGGGACGGAACATTGTAGCGTCATGAAACGCCCGTGCGCGTCGCGTAGCGTCTGGGAGCGCCTGCGGGCGGCCGCGTGGGGGGCGCTTGGGTCCAGAATCCAGAGTCGGCGAGGGGTTCCTGAAACGCATCGAAATTTTGCATGTGTCATCGACGTTGTAATGTTTACTGCCTCTTGTGCCCTGGGGTTCTTCGGGGCCAGGAGGTGTCGATGTTGAAGATTAGCTGATGCGCACCGAATGAATTGTTTTTTTTTGCATCGGATGGCGAAGGTTGGGTCGGATGGATGTGCACCGAATGAGTTCAAACATCGGATGGTGAGGGTTGGGTCGTATGGATGCACACCGAATATAAAGCGTTATATGAGAAAGTGGGGGTCCGGCCGGATGGATGCGCAGCGAGTAACACCTGTTGCGTAGGATGCTGGGTCGTACGGGCGCGCACCGAATCATGATTCGCAGCATCGAGTGATGCAGGTTGGGTCGGATGGATGCGCACTTAATAATATGGTGAGGGACGGGTCGCCTGGATGCGCGCGGAGCTGAAGCGAGAAACGCATATTGAAAAGGATTGGTCCTTCACCCTTGAAACGATTGCAAGATGTCCACGGCGACATCGAGATAACCAATTCTTGCAAACAGACCTGCCTCCATCCCTGAAACTGCCGCGACTGTTTAAAACGAACACGCGCGGCGCTAAGCGGAAGCCACACGTTGAAAACCACCCGGGCTCCGCCCTGCAAACTGCTGCAAAGTTCCAGCCTCAAGATCAGAATCGGCGAGGAAGTCTTCAGCGAAACGCCCAGCCTGGCCCGCGGACACGCGCAGCGGCGCGACAGGGAGGGGCCATCTACAAGGAGAAAGAATGGAAGAAAAAGAAGAGGAGGAAGAGGAAGGGAAGGATGAGGAGAAGGAGGAGCGAGCGCCCCTGCGGCGAATGATCCAGCCTGCCCAGGGGCCGCCTGCGCCCGCCGCGGGGCCCGCGGGGCCACCCAGGGCGGGGAGGTCGCCGTTCGCCGAGGCGACCGCGTCGTAGTCCAGCACGTGCGCCTCGTTCGCGAGGACGAAATTGTCAGCTGGGTCACGGTGGGAGAAGGGCGCGCCGCCCCCGCTGGGCACGCCAAGGACGGACGAGACAGCGACCAGGTCCATGAAGACGGGGTCCGTCTCCTCGTCGAAGGAGCCGTCGCCCTCCAACTCGCCGAAGAACGCTGCGACGCACTCGGGGTCGCTGTCGTCCAGCGGGAGGCCGTCGAGCAGCATCTCGCCATCGGCGGGCTCGTCGCATAGGTCCACGAGAGTGCGCTCGACTGCCCCGCCATCCCAGAAGGCGTCGGCAAATGTGGGCCCGTCCACTGTCGGGTCCGAATCGCCAGGCGCCTCGGCGCGCGAAGCCGCAGCGAGGCCCGCTGCACTCTCTCCGGGCCCAGTCTCGCGAGGCACCTCAGCGAGGCGCCCCCTCTCCCAGGGGGCTTCCTCAGGGGCCAATCCAGCAGAACAGGGCGACCGTGGGCCTGCGGCATTCCCCCTCGCGTGGGGGCTTCCACTGGACTTGGAGGGCCACGAGGCGCAGGACGCCCAAGAGGGCCGGCCAGGTCGAGGATCAGCGAGTCCATCAGCAGGGGCTGGAGTCACGCCGCCAAGAGGAGCTCGTAGAAGAAGGGGGTAATCCAGAAGCCGCATTAAAGTGATCATTTGTTTTTTGGCCCCCCCTCTGTCACAGAGGGGCCCTAAGATGCCCCCCCTCTGTCACGGAGGACCTCGTTCTGGGTGCTCTTCTGCCACGGGAGCTCCCGATACGATTGGAGACGATAAAATGTGATGGCGGGGCAGCGTCGGCGAGCCGCTCAGGGAGAGGGGGCACAGGAGGCGCGGGTGGCCCGGGCACAGCAGGGCGCGGCCCCGAAAGCCAGCGCAGAGCATCCGCGTCAGCATCTGGAGGCGGCGGGTCAGAAGAGCCCGCCGAAGGCCATGAGAAGCTCCGCGAGCTCCGCCCGAGGAGCACACGGCACCGCGACGGGGAGGGCGCGGTCTCAGGCCGAAATTGTAGAGGAACTCATCATCCGCCATCGCATCGTCCTCGCAAAGCTCGCGCGAGCCCCTGCCACTGTTCTCGGCGGCGCCAATCGCCTCAATGCCCTGGTCGGTGGGGGACAGGTAGCCGCCGGGGCGAAGCGGCGCAGCAAGTTCATCAAAAGGGGGGCCACCAGACGAAGAAGACGACTGCGCGGCGAGCAGCGAGCGAAGCGGAGGAGCCAGCGGGTCGTCGACCACAGGTTCTCCCGCGCCAAGGCGGGCGCCGCCACCGGGGTCAGGAGCTGGGAACGCACGCGGCGAAGCGATGCGCCTCCATGGGCCAACGAACAGGGCCCTGCGGAAGAGCTCGACGCGCCCGTCGAACGGGATCCTCGCAGGGTCGGGGCGCCACTCCAGCATCCTAAAATGAACGAGAGCATGAAGCCGCGCGGCGCGTCGAGGTGAGGAGGAGCGCGGAAGAGTAGCGCGTAGCTGCCTCCGAAGACGCCCCCAAGGGATCGCACTCGCATACCAAGCAGCGAAGCATATCTCTTCTGCAACTTGACGGAGGCGCGGGACGGCGTCGCGAGCAGCGTGTTCGTGGAGGCAGAAGCCGTCACAGTGCAAGAGCCCGCGCACGTAGTCCACGCACCAATCGAGCCACGCATGGAAGTCGTCCTCAGGGCGCCCATAGTAGACTGAGGGGAGCCAAGCTTTGACCCACTGCGTGGCCCTGTCGGTGAGTTCTCGCCGACGCCGCTCAGCACGGCGGAGATCAAGAGTCGAGGGCGTCCCCCCGCCGCGGGAGATGCGCGACGTAGAAGTGCGCGAAGACGGGGGCCCAAGGGGGCAGGGCGAGGGACAGGAGCATCCCCGCTTGGAGTAGACCTGGCCAACCGGGCGGCACGTATGTCTTTACCAATGTTTGGGAAAGGGAGGAGGACGGAGCGGTCGCCGAGGTGGGTATTAGCGGGTAGCTGGACCAATGGCCCTGCTCGATCCGAGCAGTCGGGCAGCCTCCTCCTTCGCCCTGGATGCGGTGGGGGTGGCGAGCTGGGGCGGACGGCGGGGGCGCGGGATGCGACCGTCCACCCCCCCCCACCCCCCCACCCCCAGCACCGCATCCGCTGGCAGGCGCGAGCAGTGGCCGCCCTGCCCCCCCTCCGCCCCCTGCACCCGAGCCGAGGCGTGATCCAAGCCTCACAAGGGCCAGCAGCCCGCCCGAACCGGGCGGGCGGCGAGCGTCTTGGGGGGGCGGTCAAGACTGCCTGCGGGGCTAGGGTAGGAGGAAGGACGATGGAAGTGGAGGACGTCGCGGTTGTCGTGCGCGGCGAGAGGCGTCCCGGGATGACGCTGGGAAGTCCGCGGGCGCGAACTGTCGCAGCCCGCGGACATGATAGATCGAAAAGGTGATCGTGTCGATTCTTAATGGCCCGGGATAGCTAGCAGCAGGAAGAGTGAAAAGATCGTCTACATCTGCGCTACGATCGTGATGTGACGAGAAAAAGCTGCACGTCACAGAGAGTGACCATCAGCAGGAGAAGCGGAGGAGGGAACCAAGGCTGAAGCTACTGCTGACAACAAGATCGCGGTGTGCCGGACGCCCTCGCGCACGGGCGATCTCGAGGGTCGCACCGAGCACGGAAGGCAGCAGCAACCACCTGCAGCATCTCCTGCCTGACACCCCACCGAAGACACCCCGCCCGGAGAGTTAACGTCGCGAGAGGGGGGGCAAGAAATAATCGGGAAACCTCAGGCTGTCCGAATGGCCTCCAGAGCGGGCCCCAAAAGGGTCAAGAGTGCCGTGGGCCAGAAGGGGGGGAAATCCAGGAAGGTGTCCCCGCCCAGGCCCCGGGCTCCCGGTACCCCAGCATATACATATATACAGACAGACAGACAGACAGACAGACAGACAGACAGACAGACAGACAGACAGACAGACAGACAGACAGACAGACAGACAGACAGACAGACAGACAGACAGACATACGTACATACAGACATACATACACACACATCACATTACATTACATTACGCTACATTACATTACATTATATTACACTACATTACATTACATTACATTACACTACACTACACTACACGACACTACATTACATTACATTACATTACATTACATTACAATACATTACATTACATTACATTACATTACATTACATTACATTACATTACAATACATTACATTACATTGCAACCCATTACGTTACATTACAATACATTACAATATATTACATTACGTTACATTACATTGCATTACCGTACGTTACATTACAACACCTTGCATTGCATTACATGACATGCATCCATGCAGACGTACATATATACATACACACAGGTACACACATACATTCATATCTGTAGATATTTATATATATATATACATGCGTACATGCATACATACATGTATACATAGATACGTACTACATACATACAGACAGATTTACATACATACATACACACACCTGCATACATCCATCCATCCATCCATCCATCCATCCATACATACAGACATGCATACATACACGCATACATACATACATGCAAACATACATATATTCATACATACATGCATACATACATGCATACATACATACATACACATGCGAATGCCAATAACACATGCATATGCACATATGCATACACATACGAATGCAAATGCACATACATATACAAATACGAGTTCCCATACACACAAATTCAATTTCACGTGCAATTGCAAATGCACATGCACATGCAAATAATACAAGTGCAAATAAACATACAAAAGTACATGCAAATGAACATACACATACAACATACAAACACGTACACTGATACCTAAACTTGAATACGTTCAATACTTCATAACATGTGTGGATCTGTATATATGGATATATATATACATGTAACAAGGCCCCCGCTTCAGACATCCTCACGATTTGCCCCCTTGGGGCACTCAAGTACTATGCACTATGCCTGGCAAAATGTGCCGATGGCCCGATCAGATTACCAACATGCCATGCGGGCCCCATAGAGAAAGGGCTCCAGCTCAAAATGCCTCTGCAATTCACTCACGAACGAGGTCCCTGCCTGAGACATCCTCACGCTGTGCCCCCTTGGGATGCTCAAGTGCTACGCCTTGTAAAGTCTGCCGACGACCCGGTCGGATTGCTAACATGAAGCGCGGGCCCCATAGGGAGGGGGGGTCCTGCCTGAGATTTCCTCGCAATTCGCCCACAGACGAGGCCCCCGCTTGAGACAACCTCACAAGTTGCCCCCTTGGGGTGCTCAAGTGCGATGCCTGGCTAAGATTGCAGATGGCCCGTTCGGACTGCCAACATGATATGCGGGCCCCATACGGAAGAGGCTCCAGCTCAAATTTTCTTCGCACTTCACTCACGGACGAGGCCCCCGCTTGAGACTTCCTTGCGATTCGCCCCCTTGGGGTGCTCAAGCGCGATACCTGGCAGAAATTGCCGAAGACCCAATTGGACTACCAACATGAAATGCAGGCCCGGTATGGAAGCGACCCCCGCCTGAGAAGTCCTGGCGGTTCACTCACACACGAAGCCCCCGCTTGAGACATCCGAACGAGTTGCCTCCCTGGGGTGCTCAAGTGCGATGCCTGGCAAAGGTTGCAGATGACCCGCTCGGATTGCCAACATGACATGCGGGCCCCATAAGGAAGGGGCTCGAGTTCTAAGTTTTCTGCGCGAATCATTCACGAACGAAGCCCCCGCTTGAGACTTCCTTGCGATTTGCCCCCGTGGGATGATGAAGCACCAATGCCTGGCAAAGTTTGCCAAGGACCCCCTCGGATTACCAACACGAAACGCGGGCCCCATAGAAAAGAAGCTCCCGCCTGAGACTTCCTCGCACGCAGTCCACTCACAGACGAGGCCCCCGTTTGAGACATCGTCACGAATTGCCCCCTTGGCATGCTCAAGTGCTACGCCGGATACAACTAGCCGATGACCCGCTGGGATTACCACCATGAAGCGCGGGCCCCGTAGGTAGGGGGCTTCCGCCTGAGACTTCATTCCACTTCACTTACAAACGAGGCCCCCGCTTGAGACATCCTCACGTGTTGCTCCCTTGAGATGCTCAAGGGCTATGCCTGGCAAAGTTTGCCGATGACCTGCTCGGATTATCTACATGAGCTGAGTGAGATGACGGTCATGATGATAAGGATGATGATGATGATAATAATGATAGCGATTTTGATGATCATGATGATGATGATGATGATGATGATGATGATGATGATGATGATGATGATGATGATGACGGTGATGATGATGAGTGCTGTGTGAACAAGCGAGGAAGAGAGAGGGAAGGAGGAGGACGAGGAGATCCTGCGCGGGAGGGCGTGCAGAGAAAACAAGAACCCCACCTTGGATGTGGGGGATGAGCAACAGCTTCCCAAACTGAGGTCGGGTGGTTTTCAAAAGGTTGCCCCTTTAGGCCGCACACACTCGGGTCAAACATGTGCAAGAGTTTCACTGATTGAAAGCGGGTGGTGTTCAAAATGCGGCTCTCGTTTTAGCGACGCGCACACTCGTCCGTAACATCTGCAATAGTTGCACGGATTGATGGCATTCCTTTTCAAACTGTGGCTCTCGCCTTTGCGCCGCGCGCACTCGTCTTTGAAATTGCACGAGCCTCACATATTGAAGGCGGCTCATTTTCAAAATGTGGCTCTCGCCTAAGCGCCGCGCACATTCGTTGCACACACTTGCAACAGGTTCACGGATCCCTATGGATAGCGTACCAGAAACGGTGTTTTGGAACGATTCAGGATTGCGAAGGCGACACAATTATGCGGACTCGCGGTGTTGAAATCACAAGAGCGGCGTTCTGGCACGGTTCGACATCGTCAAGGCGGAACAATCAGAATGATTCGTGGCGATGGGGTCCCGATAATTGTGGTTCGGCACGCTTCAGGATCTTCAAACGATTGTCCCCTAACGGGGCACTTTTCTCAATGGAAGTGACGTTGACAGGTCTTGGGTGTACATTGGTCCTCCTCTATTCTTGTTCCTTGAAGAATACCTGCTCCCTGTCGCACCTCGAATCCAACCGTCGAATCCAACCGGAGCGGCGGCCCAGGCGTTTCGCCTGAGACGTTCTTATACCATCCTGGAACTTCGAAATTGGCAACAGTGTCACAAGTGGAGAACGGGCCGCTTCCAATATGTTGCTCTCGCTTCAGCGCCGCGCACACTCGTCTGAAAAGCAAATCAGGACCTTCGCGGATTCAGGGCGGCTGGTTTCAAACATGTTGTTCTCGCCTTAGTGCCGCGCATATTCGTTTTAAACATGTGCAAGGGCTTCACCGATTGAGGGCGTTTCCTTCCCAAAATGTGGCTCTCGCCTAAGCGCCGCGCACATTCGCCTTGGACAGTTGCAAGACTTTCACGGATTCCCATCGTTAACGTGCCGAAGCGGAGGTGGGAACGATTCAGGACAGCCAAGGCGCAACAGTTACGCGGATTCGCGGAGCTGAGATGACAGGAACGGAGCTCTGGCACGACTCAAAGTCGTCTAGACGCAACAATCAGAATGATTCGTGGCGATGGGGTCCCGAGAATGGTGGTTAGGCACGCTTCAGGATCTTGAAACGGTAGTCTCCTAAAGGGGCCTTTTTCCCCAATGGAAATGGGCCCTTTGTACGGGCCTTTTTTGAAGAGGGAGCTTCGAGGGAGGGTTTCTTCAAACATCGCTGATGAGACTTAGGTTACACTCCTCCTCCTCCTGTTCCTCCTCCTCCTCCTCCTCCTCCTCCTCCTCCTCCTCCTCCTCCTCCTCCGACTCCGACTCCGACTCCGACTCCGACTCCGAGTCCGACTCATCCTCCCCTCCCCCTCCTTCTCCTCTTCCTTCTCACCCTCCTCCGCTTCCCCTCTCCTGGAGGGGCGAGGATAATTTAAGAGGACAATTCAGAAAAGAGTGTGGGGGGCGGCAGTTCACAGAATAGTTTCCGAATCTTCGGCTTGCGCTTTGCTTCTCCTTTTCCCCGAACCGGCCGCCTGGCTGGCCCCCTGGCCCCCGCGGTACGGGCAGCGGGCAGCACACCCACTCGAGCTCGTAGGGCTCGCCCCCCAAGTAGAGCACGCCCTCCTCGGGGTCCCCGTCATAGTACGGCCTCGGGGGGCACGGTCGACGACGTCCGCGGCGACGCCTCAGACCTCCAACGCCTTGAAAAGATCAGGGCGTAAGCTTTTCGCCGTCTCCGGCCTCTGGGGGCCCTTACCAGGTCCCAGGACCGTCCGAAGACGACTGGAGATGAAAAGACGGCCCTGCGGAAAGGGTCGGGACTGCTAGGGATCCTGCACTGCAGAGTCCATACATCGGATGTCTGGGCCCGTGGCGTTGTGCTTTTTCGATGAGTGTTCCTGGGGGGAGCCCTGGGGTCTAGGATTCGCTTCCATCAGGGCCCCCCTTTGGCACGCCAGACGAAGGCGGGGCGGGAAGAGCAATGGGGAGACGGGGACTGGTGAGGGAGAAAGCTTGGGAGGACGAGGAGGCAGACGGTACGGTTCTTCACCGAAGTCCGAGCAGCGCAAAAAAAGGAGGAAGAGGCGCTGCGCTCGCCGAAGAGCGCTCGACGAGGTGTCAGAAAATGTGGCCGCCGTGCGGCAAGTTCGTGTCGTGACGACCCTGGCATTGGTTCCCGACACCGTGCGGATCGTTCAACCTTGAACGATCGGCGGGATTCCGATCACCAGATCATTCCAAATTGGCCGATTCTGGGCCACTGGCAGCGTTCAACCTTGAACGCACCCGGCGGGGTCGCATCCGCGTCGACGCGACGCGAACCTGCTGCAGCTGAAATATGTGATGGTCCCGGCTTCCATCCGCGGTGCGCCCACACGTGCAGACACAGCACGCTCGCGAAATGCCCGATTGCGTGAGGAACGATTTGAAATTGGCCCTCTCACTGGCATCGATAAGCTTCACTCCGTCCTCCTTCCTCCTCCCGCTCCTCCCTCCTCCCACCCCTGCCCCTGCTCTCCACATGTCCACCTGGGGAGCTCCACCGAAGGTCCCAGTGTCAGGTGTTCACACGCGTCCCCCGCATCGATCTCGGCACACCCACCACGCGCCTCGTGGCCCAATAGGGAACTCCACCGAAGGCCCCAGTGGCAGAGCCCAAATTGCTCACATGCGCCCCTCGCACCCATTTCGGAGCACCCCTCACACGCGTCGTAAATGCTCATGGTTGGGTCATTCGCCTGGAGAATGTTGCAATACGTGGTAGAGGTATATGGTAAAGGTATACGCGTGGCGCGGTTTCTTCCCCCCAACCATCATGTGTTGCTGGGTCCTCTTTTTGAATAGACAATGCCCCGCGTCCTCTCCTCTGCTCTCCTCCCAGACTTACCTCGGCCATCCGCGTGCGGACTATTTCGGCACACCCCTCACACGGTTCATGTCCCCATAAGTGCCCAACCGAAAGCACCAGTGGCCGCTGCCGCATGCGTCCCCAACACCGTCAAAGCGCTTCGTGGCCCCATGTGAAGCCTCACCGAAGGGCCTAGTGGCCGCAGCCGCATGCGTCCTCCCCACCTGATGCAGCGCTTCGTGACCACATAGGGAGCTCCACCGAAGGCCCCAGCGGCCGCGGCCGCATACATCTCCCCCAACCAAGAACAGCGCTTCGTGACCCCATAAGGAAATCCACCGAAGGACCCAGCGGTCGTGCTCACAAGCGTCCCCGCACCAATCTCGGTACACCCCTCACACGGTTCGTGGCCCCATCGGGGGCCCCATCGAAGGCGCCAGCGGCAACGCTCGCACGCGTCCCCCGCACCAATTTCAGCACACTCCTCACACGTCTCGTGGACCCCTAAGGACCTCCACCGAAGGCCCCAGTGGCAGTGCTCACATGCGCCCTCCGCGCCCATGTCCTGCACACCCCATCACACGCCTCCCGGCTCCATTAGGAGCTCCACCGAAAGCCCCAGTGGTAGTCGCATGCGTCACCCGCACCAATTTCGGTGCACACCTCATTCGTTCGTGGTCCCGTGCAAAAGTTCCACCGCAGGCCCCAATGGCGGTGTCCGCATGCGTCCTCCCCCGCCCATTTCGGCACACCTCTCACACGTTTCGTGGCCCCACAGGGAGCCGCACTGAAGGCCTCGAAAGCGGTGTTCGCATGCGCCCCCCCCAGAAGCAATGTCGGCACGCCGTCAGGCGCTTCGCGTCCCAATAAGCAGCTACACCAAAGACCATTATCATAGCTACGTTACTCACAACTGCATATGGTCAAATTTCTCGCCAGGTTAATTTCTCGCATTCCGTCCAAAGAAACAACCAGGAAAGGCAGGTCAGTAAATCCGCCGCCCCCCAGGATGGCTAACGCAGCCGCGCGCTTCACGGACGAGCGAACACAGCGAGACACGTGCACAGCAAGTCTGCGGGCGCAGAGCTCACTTACATGTGCTAACCCTTAAACATCAATATCATGCGATGTTGCGCCTGTTCGCTGGAGCGCGTGCCGTTCGCATCACGAAAAGGGACGGAAACAAAATTAGCCAGACGAAAGACCCAACCATACACAGTTGCGAGTACCGCATTGTGGGTACCGGTTTCGGTGAAGCTCTCTGTGGGGCCACCAAGCGTGTGAGGGGTGCACCGAAATCGGTGGCACGCATGTGGACACCGCCACTGGGGCCTTCGGTGGACCTCCCTATGGGGCCACGAAGCGCAGTCCTGGGTGGGGGAGACGCATGCGAACGGCGCCACTAAGACCCTCGGTGAAGTTCCCCATGGGGCCACGAAGCGCTGTCATGGGCGGGGGAGACGCATGCGAACTGCGCCACTGACGCCTTCGGTGGAGCTCCCTATGGGGCCACGAAACGTTGTCCTGGGTGGCGTTGTCGCATGCGGATCCTGCCACTGGAGCCTTCGGTAGAGCTCCCTGTGGGGCCACGAAACGCTGTCCTGAGTGGCGGTGACGCTTGCAGACCCTGCCACTGGAGCCTTCAGTGGAGCTCCATGCGGGGCCACGAAACACTGCCCTGGGTGGCGTTCCGTTCCCGCATGCGGACCCTGCCACTGGAGCCTTCGGTGGAGCTCCCTATGCCCTATGAGGCCACGCAGCGCTGTCCTTGGTGGCGGTGACGCATGCGGACTCTGCCACTGGAGCCTTCGGTGGACCTCCCTATGGGGCAACGAACCGTGTGAGGGGTGTGCCCAAATCGGTGGCGTTGACGCATGCGGACCCTGCCACTGGAGCCTTCGGTGGAGCTCCCTATGGGGCCACGAAACGCTGTCCCGGGTGGCGCTCCCGCATGTGGACCCTGCCACTGGAGCCTTCAGTAGAGCTCCCTGTGGGGCCACGAAACGCTGTCCTTGGTGGCGTTCCCGCATGCGGATCCTGCCACTGGAGCCTTCGGTGGAGCTCCCTATGGGGCCACGAAACGTTATCCTGGGTGGCGTTGACGCATGCGGGCCCTGCCACTGGAGCCTTCGGTGGAGCTCCCCACGGGGCCAAGAAAACGTGCGAAGGGTGTGCCGACATGATGGACATGCGGAAAGCAGAAGCAGGGCAGCGGGAGAGGAGGAGGAGTGACTCGGGGCACTGTCTCTTCAACAGAAGGACCCGACACCACATGATAATTGGGGGAAAAATAACCTGACGAAGGACCCGACCATATGCTGTTGCGAGTATCGCATTGTGGGCACTGGTTTCGGTGAAGCCCCCTATGAGGCCACGAAGCGTGTGAGGGGTGCGCCGAAATCAATGGCGCGGACGCATGTGGACACCGCCACTGGGGCCTTCGGTGGACTTCCCCATGGGGCCTCGGAGCGCTGTCCTGGGTGAGGGAGACGCATGCGAACGGCGCGACTAAAACCCTTGGTGAAGTTCCTCATGGGGCCACGAAGCGCTGTCCTAGGGGGCGCTGACGCATGCGGCCTGTGCCACTAGGGCCTTCGGTGAGGCTCCCTGTGGGGCCACGAAACGCTGTCCTGGGTGGGGAGGACGCATGCGAACGGTGCCACTAGACCCTTCGATGGAGATCCCTATGGAGCCACGAAGCGCTGTCCTGGGCGGGGGAGACGCATGCGAACTGCGCCACTGGAGCCTTCGGTGGAGCTCCCTATGCGGCCGCGAAGCGCTGTCATGGGTGGTGGAGACGCATGCGAACGGTGCCACTGGGACCTTCGGTGGAGCCCCAGAAAAGGCCGCGAAGCGCTGTCATGGGTGGCGATGACGCATGCGGACCCTGCCACTGGGGCCTTCGGTGGAGCTCCCTGTGGGGCCACGAACCTTGTAAAGGGTGTGCCCAAATCGGTGGCGGTGACGCACGCGGACCCTGCCATTGGAGCCTTCGGAGGAATTCCTTATGGGGCCACGAAACGCTGTCCTGGGTGGGGGAGACGCATGCGGACCCTGCCACTGGAGCCCAGCTCCCTAGGGTGCCACGAAACGCTGTCCTGGGTGGTGGAGACGCATGCGGGCCCTGCCACTGGAGCCCAGCTCCCTAGGGGGCCACGAAACGCTGCCCTTGGTGGTGGAGACGCTTGCGAACGGTGCCACTGGGGCCTTCGGTGGATCTCCCTACGGGGCCAGGAAGCGCTGTCCTGGGCGGCGTTCCCGCATGCGGACCCTGCCATTGGAGCCTTGGCAACTTCGCAAACCCCTGGCGTACCCACACAGCGCATGAGGCAGCAAAGAAGCGGCAACGAGGCGGCAACAGGCGGCAACGGGCGGCAATGCAGCGAATCCTTGGTAGACCCCACCAGGCGGCAATGGGCGGTGGCGAATCCTCGGCATAGCCTCGCAGGAGGCAACGGGCGGCAACGAGGCGGCAGCGTGGCGACCACTCGGCATACCCATCGGATTTCTGAGTGGCCCAAGTCAGAATCCCAAAATGCAAGTACTGTTTGGGGAATGTGCTCGGGTTGCTGAAAATCGAGAAAATAAAAAGAAACAAAACAACAACAACAAAAAAAAAACATAAGAATGACAACAACAAAAAAAAACACGGGAGCGCCCATCCTCAAGGACGACGGGTCTGCCTTTCCGGCGAGGCCTCTATGTTGTTGGCGCAGGTCGGGAGCGTGCCGGTAGCGGAGGCTTCAAGCGCTGGGCCACGACGTGGGCCGGCGCCAGAGCGGTGGCAGGAGAGGCCACCGCCAGGTTGCGGAAGACGACTGCGCTCTGGGCTCTGCGCTGGGGGGCATCGATGCCTCTTAACATCACTACTCGGGCCCTGCGGTGTGCTCGAGATGAGCGCCTGGGCAACGGGTGTCTCAAGGCCTGCCTCGTCCGCGTGGCCCCTCTGAGGCCGCACGGTCAGGGTCCAGCGAGGGAGATAGGTGGCAGGAGCAGAAAAGATGAGCAAGTCGCAGCGTTGACATCTCAGCCCTGGGCCTCGGGTGGTAGAGGAGGGCGTTCTCGACCCACAGCACGCACAGCCTCGCGCCGCATGTGCAGGCCCCGAACGCTCCCAGCGCTGCCCCCAGCCAGATCCACGAC